TAAATGACTCTGAACATTTGCTGACATGGTGGAGTCAGTTTCAAAGTCAATGCTGAGTTCAAAAGGTTATTTAACATAAGAACTAGGAGCAGGATTTAGCCTATCAGTCCCTCGAGCATGAAGAGGTGGAAAGGCAAGTTGTGAAGGGGATATAAACAGATTACAGAGAGAGACTGGTAGTTTAAGTAAGTGGACAAAAAGCTGGAAAATGGGGTATAATGTGGGGCAGGATGTGAAGTTGTTCATTTGGAAGAGAGAACAAAAGAACACACTTATTATTTAAATGGAGAAAACTGCAGGAAGCAGCAATGCAAAGTGACTTGGAGATACTTTTGCACAGAACATGGAGAGCTGGCACTCAGGGTCAGCAAGGAATCAGATGGCTAATGGAATGTTGGCCCTTATTTCAAGAGATTTGAGAATAAGAGAAGGGAAGTCTTACTGCAACTGTACAAGGTGCTGGTGAGACCACATCTGGAGGACGGTGAGCAGTTTTGGCCCCCTTATTTAAGGAAAGATATTATTTCATTGGAGGCAGTTTGGAGAAGGTTCATCAGGATGAACCCCAATATGGAGGGATTGTCTTATGAGCAAAGCTTAAATCGTTTGGGACTCTACTCATTGGAATTTAGAAGAATGAAAGGTGATCTCGCTGAAACTTATAGGATTCTTAAGGGGCTTGACAAGGATGTTTCTGCCCATGATGGAGTCTAGGACCAAAGGACATAGTGTGAGAATAAATTTAAGACTGAGATGAGGAGGAATTTCTTCTTTCAGGAACTTATGAATCTTTGGAACTTCATGCCACAGCAGTTTGTCCGTTTAAGGCTGAGATAGATAGATAGACAAACAGACAGATTCCTGAGCAGTTGTGGAATCCGGGGTTGAAGGGAAAAGGAGGAAAAGTGGACGTGAGGAGCGTCAGAGCAGCCATGAACCAATTGAATGATAGAGCAGGCTCAAGGGGCTAAAAGGTCTAGTCCTGTTCCTATTTCATATGGTCTTATGGTGTAATACGACCATGGTTGATCACATCTTGGCCTCAACTCCACTTTCCTGCCCACTCTCCACAACTCTTCCAATAGAAAATTGTTCATCTCCTCTTTAAATTTATTGTGTCCCAGTATCGACCACACTGTGGAGCAGTGAATTCCACAGATTCACAACCCTTTGAGAAAAATAATTCCTCCTCATCTCTGTTTTAAATCTTCCACTCCTTGGCCTAAAACTATTTACTCTCATTCTAGATTGCCCCACATGAGGAAACATCCTCTCTACGTCTAATTTGTTAATCCCCTTTAACATTTTATATGCCTCAATTAGTTCTCCTCTCATTCTTCTAAATTCCAGTCAGTATTTTAAGCCTTTGCGTTGCGTGTACTCTTTAAAATCAACACCGAGATCCACACAAAGTTGGATCTTCAGAGAAAGAAAGACTTACATTCCTATCACACACCACAAGATGTCCCAAAGCAATTGTAACCAATGGGGTAATTTTAAAGTCACTGTTGTCATATCGGAAATACAGCAGCCAATTTAAGTAGGGCACTGTCCCAACAAGGAGCAATGTGATAATGTGATAAAGATCATGTTGCGGCTGTACAGGACATTGTTTAGGCCACTTTTGGAATACTGTGTACAATTCTGGTCTCCCTGCTGTAGGAAGGATGTTGTGAAACTTGAAAGGGTTCAAAAATAGATTGGCAAGGACATTGCCTGGGTTGGAGGGTTTGAGTTATAGGGAGAGGCTGAATAGGCTGGGGCAGTTTTCCCTGGAGCGTTGAAGGCTGAAGGGTGGCCTCATAGAAGTTATAAACTCATGAGGGGCATGGATAGGGTAAATAGACAAGGTCCTTTGCCCAGGGTGGGGGAGTCAAAAACTAGAGGGAATAGTTTTAAGGTGAGAGGGAAAATATTTAAAAGGGACCTAAGGAGCAACTTTTTCACACAGAGGGTGGTGCATGTATGGAATGAGCTGCCAGAAAAGTCGGGGAGGCTGGTACAATTAGAACATTTAAAAGGCATCTGGATAGGTATATGAATTGGATGTGTTTTGAGGAATATGGGCCAAATGCTGGCAAATGGGACTAGATTTATCTAAGATATCTGGTCGGCATGGACGAGTTGGATCGAAGGTTTCCGTTCTATACATCTCAATGACTGTATGACTCTATTACCAATAGTTTCTTACCTATAATAGAGATTGGCTTGTAATGTTGGCCAAGAAGCCAGGAAAACCTCCTGCTTTTCCACAGGATTGTGCCATGGGATCTTTGATATCTGCATGATAGAACACACTCAGGAAACGAGAGTGCTGCCAACTGAGCTGTAGCTGATGAGAGCTGCTTTATCAACTGGTTAACATATGATTACTCCAAAAATAACAACTGGCCTTATATTGTGCTGTTACTGTAATAAAATATTCCACAGTGCCCTTCTCTGGGACAAGATCCTGGGTGCAACCACAAACAAACAGATGAGCTAGTTGTGAGATTGTGATTTGCTCCTCTTTAATACGTTGGCTGGTTTGCCTTTCAGTTTTATTACCATGCAGGTAATTCACTAATGCTAACATGTTTGTTCTAAGTGGTGCGGATGGCACCATGAAGTGAGCAAGGTGAAGATATAGATTGAAGACTCTTGGAGTAAGGCATCACAAAAGTACACTTGCTTTCTGTCTATTGACATTTGGTTTCCAAAACTAATAATCCTTTAATTTAGATTCTTCTGTCCATCAGGATCTTAGGTGGCTGTGCATCCTTCAGTGGTTGAAGTGCGTTGGCTCTTAGCTGAAGTTCAGTAACCTGCCTCCACCAGCATACTCCTGTTGCTCAGGAGGAGATGTGGCACAGTGTCTGGACGGCCAGGCTAATATTCTGGTGACAAGGGTTCAAATCCCGTCCTGACAGCGATGGAAATTTGAGCTCAACTAATAAAACCTGAGATTGTAAAGCTGGTTTTCATCATGGTGAGAATGAAACTATCATAGTTTGTTATTAAAAAAAAAACCCATGTGGCTCACTAATCCCCTGCAGGGAAGGAAATCTGCCATCCTGACCTGGTGTGGCCTTGTCGTGACTCCAGACCCCCAGCCACGTGGTTGACTTTTAACCAGCGTTCCCTCGGATTTTCATTCTGGCTGCGTGGCCTCTGAGACCTGTGTGTAGCAGCAATTTCTAGAACTGGAAGTCAATGCCATGTACATGCGCCAACATGGATCACCATGCAAGGAATCTCGGAGTGGCTGTGTTTGTAAAGCACTCAGCTCAAGGGCTATAAGGGAACAAATGCTGGCCTGACCAGTGATGCCCACTTGCCATGAAAGAGTAAATGAAAAAATATATAAAGCGGGAACAATGCCTTGACTTTTTGCTGGTGATTCTTTTCCAGAAAGCCTCAAATGACCTTGGGCTGAATCTTCCAATCTAGCTCATGCAAATCCAAGAAATAGGAATCCCTGTTTCCAATCCAAATCAGGCTGAAAGCTGCCCATTTACATTTGGAGGAACTTCTTAGGCAAATGCATGTGCCAGGAGTCTTCCCAGCTGTACCAATGTCATCAGGTCCAGGAACCCAGACAACTGACTGCAGAGTGGAAGTGCATCTAAACTACACCCATATTTAAAACAGTGGGTGCAGTGTTCTGTCATTTAAATACCTTTATGCCACTTTGACAACCTCTGAGAGAAGAACAGTGTGGCAGGGATAGGGTGCCAGGTGGGAGAGAGAATAGGGTGCCAGGTGATTGTGGGGTTGGGGGGGAGGGTGTGTTGCTAGGTCCATCTGGGGGATAGACTGGCAGGTAGGAATGGGGTGGCATGTGGGTGCGGTGGAGTTCAAGGTGTGCGTGGAGGTAAGGTACCAGGTGGGTGTGGGGTGCCATGTGGGTGGGCGGCCAGGTGCCCAATGTATTAGTTTGTAGGGTGCCAGATAGGCGAGTGAGGGCTTAAGGTAGATCTTGGGGTGGTCACATCAGGGCAGGAGTAGGGCTGGGGAGTCACGCAGCTTTGGTTCCATGGGGGCTCGAGAGATGAGATTCAGGTTGTCTGGCTGGTCAGGTATGGAGTGTGGTGGCGTTGTGTCTTGAGTTGGGGGGAGGGAGGTCATGAGCTAAGTCACTGAGGGCTTTCTGGTTCAGGGGGATTGGAGGTCAGGGAGTCCTCTTTAGCAAGTGGGGGTGGTGTCAGGCGTGGTGGGCTCATGGCTTGGATCAGATTGGGGGTTGATTATCAGGGTATTTGGGATTTGGCATTGTGGGCGGGTGGGGGGTCTGACTGACATGGGTCATTGCTGGGATGGAGAGAGGCGTTCAGTTTTACAGTGAGCTAGCAGTAAAGCAGGTTTTAAATCCCTTTAACATTTCTTCAGTAACCATCCAGGTCTCCAAACTCTCCAGCTCTAATTCAGAATTGGCCCACTTGCCCGTCAGAAAGTTCAACTCCCCCAGAAAATTCCCTCTGAGTCAGCTGTACTGGCACTGTCCAAACACACAAAGCCCTGTCTACATTTCAGCTGCAGCGGTCTTCCAGTCAGAAAGTCTGGGCCCTGGTCATGTTAAGCTCAAAGCAGCTCACCGTTAAAAAGTGATGATTCGGACCCTCATGGTATGGAATTTGCAGGATGAAAAGGGAGATCAGTTTGAAGCTTTGTTTCATTATCCTTTCAGTACTCTTAACAACAAATCTCCTGAAATCAGCCTGGTACAGAGCTCAGCACTAAGAAATCCTGGGCCAAGCGACATGGACTCGGGTCCTGACAGAATTCAATGAGAATAAGTAGCAGTGAAGTTGTTTTGGTTGTGAGCTGTGCTAAGGACTAGGTTGGAAGAATCCTTGTGCGTCAATATAGTTTAAGATGAAGCAATAATTAGGCTTTAGGCAGTTGACAGGCCTCCTCCTTAGAGGATGTTGCTATGTTGATAATGTAGCTTGCTGAGGTTTTCTAATAATTTCCCCCTTTCTCCAAGAAGGTAAAACATCGTCAATTTTGTTTCCCACCAGGTGAATAACAATGGGATTATATCATTCCTGAAAGAGGTTTCACAGTTCACTCCAGTGGCATTTCCCATCTCTAACGACCGACGGGTAGTGGCAGCATTCTGGGCAGATGTGGACAATCGGCGAGCTGGCGATGTCTTCTACAGGGAGACGAAAGACCCTGCCATACTGCAGAGTACAACAGAAGATATCAGGAGGTACTTTCCGGAACTTGAGGAATTCAACACCAAGTGGGCACTTGTGGCCACCTGGTACAAAGTGACATTCTTTGGAGGAAGCACATTCTCACCGGTAGGGGTTAAAGAATTGATCCTTTGTCAGCGGGCACACGTTGAAGTCTTTGCTCTCTATCTATACTGTCAGAGCAGCCACATGGTTTGCTTCTGAATAAAAGCGTGGTGCAGTACCCATCTCTGAATCTTGCTTAGTGTACATCAACCCCGTCACGTTCTGATGAGTGCATTGTCTGACAAACCTTACCTGAGTCATTGTGCCTCATCAAGTGTCGTACCCATCTTCGTTACAGGAAACTGCCAATCATACACAGACCCTTCTCAGTAGGGAGAGACCCGATTGGATATCAGCATTTCCTGTGGGAATCTGTGTTCACTGTGGGATCCTGTGGGATATCACTCTTTAGTATGGGATCTTGTGGGATATTGGTGTTCAGTGTGGGACCCTGTGGGATATGAGTGTGGGACCCTGTGGGATATCAGTGTTCAGTGTGGGGCCCTCTGGGATATCAGTGTGGGACCCTGTGGGATATCAGTGTTCAGTGTGGGACCCTGTGGGATATCAGTGTGGGACCCTGTGGGATATCACTGTTTAGAATGGGATCTTGTGGGACATTGGTGTTTACTATTCAGAGAGGAACCCTGTGGGATATCAGTTTTCAGCATGGGACACTGTGGGATATCTGTGCTTAATGTAGAGCCCTGTGAGATATTATCACACTGTGAGATACTTGGCTGGTCGCTATGATGACAGCACGGTTTCTTCTATTTCCCAAGGTGAACACTTTCCAGATTGTCCTGGTCACAGATGGAGAATTATCGTTCACCATCTTCAACTATGAAAATATCACCTGGACGACGGGGATGCATGCCAGCAGTGGAGGGGACTTCGCCGGTCTCGGTGGCATTGCTGCCCAGGTAGAGCCAGTCTGATTGTGCACACATGCCTTGAGCTCACTGTTAGTGGTGAATGGAAAAATTCATTCTCAAGTAATGCTTTGCTCAAAATATCTAGTCTGACAAACAGTAATAGACGTTTACCATGTTTGTATCAATATGGAGGTCACACTTGTGTTCCCTGTATTTCTGAATGGGTCAATGTATGCCCCTAAGCCATAGAAAGGAAGAACCCAGGTTTGTTAGTTGATCTGAGCCAGAGTATTGATGCAGGCTTACAAATGGCCTGAGTAGAGCCCAATCAAGGTAAGGAAGGAAAGTTCCTCTCCATTGATATTCCGGCATGCCTGTGAAGACTGAATGAAGATTGAGCTTCACTATGTTGCCTTGAACAGTCAACTGGTTTCCTGACTCTCCTCTCAGGGACCCTATTGCCCTTAAATCACCTTTGCATAGCCCACAAGTTTCCTCCTTCTGCTACCTATGTGTGTGTGTGTCACATGCCTTCAGGCAGGTTTCAACGCTGGAGATGGGAAACGCTACTTCAACATTCCCGGATCACGCACGGACGACATCGTGGACGTCGAGATGACAACGAACGTTGGCGTTCCGGGACGTTGGGTATTCCAGATCCATGACGCACAAGTGGAAGTTGGCGGCTGCAACAACACAGGTAGGCTTCAGCCTCGCCGTACCTGGGCAAGCAGCAGTGAGATAGTATCTCCACCCATTGCTCAGTGTCAGCACTCTCATTTGTCTGTCTGAAGGTTAGAGGTTCAAGTACTTACACCCAGCTAATAGTGTAGTGCAGTGCTACATTGTTAGAGATGAAACTGTGGAGAATGAATGTGACAGCATAATTTTGAGGTTGAATAGGACATTTGGAATCATAGAAGCAGGCCACTCGGCTCAGCCCATCGAGTCCACACTGATCCTCTGAAGGGCGTCCCGCCCAGACCCTCACCCCTACCCTATCCCTGTAGCCTTGCATTTTCCCATGGCTGATCCACCCCGCCTGCACATCCCTGGACACAATGGGCAATTTCCCCTGGCCAATTCAGTTAACCTGCATATCTTTTGGACTGTGGAAGGAAACCGGAGGAAACCCACGCAGACACGGGGAGAACGTGCAAACTCCACACAGACAGTCACCCAAAGGTGGAATCAAACCCGGGTCCCAGATGCTATGAGACAGCAGTGCTAACCACTGAGCCACTGTCTCTCCCATTTGCCTGATGCTCCGGCTCGTGTTTATCCCTCTATCAACATCATTGACAATAAATTATTTTGTCATTACCTCAGCCATCAGCATCACTGTCATGCTTTCAAGCACAGCTTGTAAAGCATTAAGAGCTACGGATCATAGGAACACACTTCTGGAACTTCACAGGAATTTGAATAGGAAGAATTAGGAGAGGGTCAGAATTAGTACATCAGAGGAGTGAGCTCAGTCAGTAAGTTATTGAAGAAGGATCACTGGACATGAAACATTAACTGTGATTTCTCTCCACGGATGCTGACAGACCTGCTGAGCTTTTCCGCCAATTTCTGTTATTGTTTGGGTAAGTTATTGACTATAGCTACAGTTGTTTGACCTCAAACCTGTCTCTCTCTCTCTCTCTCTCTCTCTGTAGCTTCGGTGTGCTTGAACCTGCGACCGTGTCTCAATGATGGAAGATGCATTGACGATTGCATCACCGGAAACCCATCTTACACGTGTTCATGTCGTGCAGGATTCACAGGCCGGAGGTGTCAGATAGGTGAGGAGTGTTTTGCTTGGAGGAAATAGGAATCATGCTTTGAGAAGGATATGGGGCACGCGCAGTGAGTGAGGGTGTGGACAGATACAACTGGAAGATCGGCATACAGGTCAGGGAAATTGGGCAGTAAGGAAGACAATCAGTAGAACCTCCAGACCATAGGTTGAGTTGGGAAAATAGAGGAGGATGCGGTGACAGGCAGCCTGCAATGGAGATGGGATAGATTGGGTTGGGTGGTATTGCAACATCAGGTGAGTAGAGGTTTGATGAAGAGTCATCTAAACTCAAAATGTTAGTTTGCTTTCTCTCCATGCATGCTGCCTGACCCGCTGTGATCTCCAGCATTTTTTTGTTTTCAGACTAGAGGTTTGGGATGGGGGACAAGTTTAATACCTTTCTCTGGTGGGAGACCAAGTTAATTCTGTCTGTCACATGAGGGAATCTATCTTGCCAAAGCAAGCACAATAGGACAGCACAGTGCCAGAGACCCAACCCAGGGGTCACAGCTGCCTCACAGTGC